GGTCCCGCTCCCCTTCGCCGTCCCATTAAGAGTCTAACTTGGCCGGGGTCGCTCGCCCCCCGCCAGCCGCGATCAAACTTCATTAGTGCCGCTGCTGCGCTCTGCTTTGGGAAGCCGGACGGGGGGCGGCAGACGGAGAAGAGAGGAGGGGGTGGCGGGGTCGTCGGTTGCCTTCACACAACCCTTCCCCCTCCCCACCCCGACCCGGGTTCAGCTTTTTAGACTCCTAACTTCGGAGATCGGACTTTCCGGTTGTTTGGGGGGGGCGGGGGGCGTCAAAGGGGCGAAAAAGAGGCCCCCGAAGGCGGCCCCCACCCCGGGAAGGCAGGAACCCCGGGGGGGGGGTTATGAAGGCGTTGGACTACAAATCCCATCCTTGCCCGGCTGCGCGGGGTCGAGCGCTGAATTGGCTGAATGGGGAGCCTGGATTTAGAATAGAATAACAGAGTGGGAAGAGACCTTGGAGGTCATCTAGTCCAACCCCCTGCTTAGGCAGGAGACCCCAGAGTATTTCAATTCAATCAATCAATCAGAATAGAGCTGGAAGGGACCTTGGAGGCCATCTAGTCCAACCCCCTGCTTAGGCAGGAAACCCAACACCACTTCAGAGAAAGGGTTCTCCAGCGTCTTCTTAAAAACTTCCAGTGTTGGAGCATTCTCAACTTCCAGTGGCAAGTCGTTCCACTGGTTAATTGCATGGATCCTCGCCCGTGATTGGATCGGAGCAGCCAGGCCCTCATCTGAACCCAACCCGGGAGTTGGGCGGGTGAGTGTGGGATGCGCGGGAAGCAACCCGCGCCAACCCATTCCTTTGGAAACAGATGGGAGGCAGCAATCGCAGGTTCGGATGCGAATCCTGCGCCCTTCCCAGCTCTTCTTTTGGGGAGTGGTGGGGCAGGAGGTCCCTCAGATGACAAAGACCCCCCCCCCTTGCTCTCCCGTGGCGAAGGCGGCCCCCAGACCCAACTCGGAGGGGGCTGGTCCTCTGCCCTCCCAGTCTGCCTAGATGCCCTCTAGGCCGGCCTACCTCGCAGGGCTGGCCGTGGCAGAGGAGGGGGCGGGGGTGAGAGAGCCCCTTGCCCGGCCACAGAGGGGGAGGGGGCAGAAAGGGTGCCAACTCAGTCCCAGATCCTCATAGAAGCAGAGGAGAAAGGAAAGGAGGCGTTGAGTGGCTCATCATATTATTGTATGTTAATGTATGTATACACACCGGCACACAACACACACACACACAAACACACACACAGTTACATATATACAGATACATACACACACAAACACACACACACTGCTGACTGTTCTGATCGACAAGCTCAGCATCCTAGCCACTGAGCCACCATGTCCCTTCATACATATATACCAGTACACATATACACATACATACATACATACATACATACATACATACATACATACATACATACATAGAAACATACACACACACACACACACACAGAATTACAGCTAGCTCTTGACTTAACAAGCAGTTCATTTAGTGGCTGTTCAAAGTTTTAAGGGCACTGAAAAATCTTAGTTACGGCCGTTTTTTCACAGTTATGACCGTTGCAGAATCCCCCCATGATCAGGTGATCAAAAGTCAGGCGCTTGGCCATGGGCTCACATTTATGACGGTCGTAATGTCCACGTGATCCCCTTCGGCGTCCAGCAAAGTCAATGGGGGGGGGAGGCAGATTCGCTTAACGACCTTGTGGCTAACTTAATGACCGCGATTCACTTAATGACCGTGGCAAGAAAGTAACATGGGGCCACGCTCACTTAGCAACCATCTCGCTTACTGAGAGACATTTTGGGCTGAGTTCTGCTCGGAAGGAAGGGGAGGACTCGAGTTACGACCGCCCGGACAGCAATCGATGTTATGACAGTGCTCACAACCTTACAACCGATCCTCAAAGTTCCAGAAGACTTCCTGATACAGATAAGTCCTCGACGTATGACCTCAGCGGAGACCAAAATTTCTGTTGTTAAGTGAGACATGGGTTAAGTGAGTTTCGTCCCGTGTTACAATCTTTCTGGCCACGGCTGTTGAGCCAATCCCTGCGGTTGTTAAGTGAATCTGGCTTCCCCGGAGACTTTGATTGACAGAAGGTCGCAAAATTGAGGCCCCGCTGCAAAGCGTCGTAAATACGAACCAGTTTCCGAGTGTTTGAACTTCCACCACTTCATGATAGGGACGTTGCAAAGGTTTTAACCATGATAAATGATCATCATTCACATTTTTTTTGATGCCGTCGTAACTTGGAACGGTCACTAAATAATGATTGTAAATCGAGGACTAGCTGTATGTGGTTCTGGGAAGGAAGGGGAAAAAATCGACCTTGTGATTCCCCCCAAAATACGAGACGCCAGAAGTCTCCAAATTGGGGGCAAAAGTTTTCACAGGGTAGCAACTACACGCCCAGAGGGCCTGGAAGGAGGGAGGGGCTGCCCCAGGACGGAGGTTTCATCCACCCCTTCCCGGTTTGGGGCTCCGCAGGCAGCTTGGGCTTGCCCTTGGGGAAGTCCTTGGCTTATGACCGCAATCAAGCCCACATCATAAGCCAGGATGTCTGAAAAACGAGCCATCCTATCCAGAGGTGGGATTCAGGCGGTTCGGACCAGTTTGGGCAAACCGGATGCTAATTTTACATCTAGTTGAAAGGACCGGCTGGCCATGCCCACCCTGCCCCTCCCCTCCCAGAAGTCTCCACGCGGCCCATTTTGGATGCCAGATAAGCGCAGGCCCCGCGCAGAAGCTCTGGGAGGGCGAAAAACAGGCTTCCCGGAAGTCCGGAAATGGGCCTGTTTCCGGCCTCCGGAGGGCCACCGAAACCCCCGTGGGATGCTGTTTTCGCCATCCTGGAGGCTCAAGGAAAGCCTTCGGGAGAGTGCAGGAGGCCGTGGTGCAGGAGCGCCAAGTTGGCCACGCCCACATGCAGAGAACCGGTTGCTAAAATTTTTCAACCCCACCCCTGATCGTATTCCCCGTCCAATTTTGCGATTATTATTCTTTTTTGCAGCAGCCGTCAAGGGAACCCGTTGTTTACGTTGGGGTGTTCGTTCCCCCTTCCCCCCCAGAAACCGGAACGTCAATGCTGGTTTTTTTTGGTCACACGCACACTCTAAATTGTGACTGCGGGATGCCACCATGAACGAGTGGTGCGGGGGCCCTTGAGGTGGAGCTCTCGTCTCACCAGTGGTGGGATTCAGGCGGTTCGCACCTATTCGAGAGAACCGGTTGTTAACTTTCTAAGCAGTTTGGAGAACCGGTTGTTGGAAGAAATCTCATTTTGGTTTTCTTCCCACTTTAGAGGGCTAATCTTGTAAGGAAGGCAGGAAGGGAACATTCTGGTGTTGTTTCTAGCCTCATCTTTATCGCCCTGCTTACAGAAACTGCCTCTCCGGTTAACCCTTGTTACATTGTAACACGAAGGCAAAATGCCCATCGACTTGAGTGACCTTGAGTTGTCCAAGCCCACCCAGTCACATGACCCCCGAGCCACACCTACCCAGATAGTCATTAGGGCAGAGAACCGATTGTTAAATTATTGGAATCCCACCACTGCGTCTCACAATCAGGAGGCTGTGAGTTCCATCCTAGGTAGAGGCAGATATTTCTTTCTCTGGGCACAATGAGAATATATATCTGCCGAACAAAACTCCGCATTGGTGACGGGGAAGGGCATCTGGCCATGAAAAACACTCAGCTCCATTCAGATGGCCAGACTTCACCCCGCAAGGGATTATGGGGTCATTAAAACATGATGATCCAGCAGGGAAATGAATGGCAGACGACACAAAAAGACACCAGTTTTTTAACAACGGACGGATAGTTATACTTGCTCTTGAATTTGATGGTACATTTAAAATGTGTGCCTATTTTATTTTATTTTATTTTTTTAAAAAATGTTGCTTTTTGTCATTCTGACTAGGGGTGTTTCCTCGCCACAATAACAACAATGACAACAACAACCCTGAGAAGAGTCCTTGGTTTTTTTTCTCTCGTTGCTTGCTAGTTTTAAATCTGGCCAGCCTGGAAATCCCATCCTACACAGGGAATCCTCAGCGTACGACCACAAGGGAGCTGAAAATTTCTGTTGTTAAGCAAGTCATTGGTTAAGTGAGTTTCATCCCATGTTGTGACCTTTCTTGCCACGGCCGTTAAGTGAATCACTGCAATTGTTAAGTTAGCTTCCCCAACTAACTTTCCTTATCAGGAGGTCGCAAAACGGGTGACACCCCACCCCCCCACGGGGCACTGCAACCGTCATAAATAGGAGACAGTCGTCAAGTCTCTGAATTTTGATTATGTGGCCTTCGGGACGCCGTATCGGTCGTAAATATAAAAGACGGTCGTAGGTCATTTTTTTATTCAGTGCCGTTGAGACTTTGGTCACTGAACGAACGGTTGTAAGTCGAGGACAAACCCGTAGTAGATGCCGAATGAAGGTCAAACAAAATTGCAGGAGAAAACCTGAATATAACAGTGGATGGAGCAGAAAGCAGAAAGCTCTCCTCTCTCTAGAAACAGCCGTTCTGAAATGGTACAATTTTGCTGAGCTTCCACCTTCCCAGCTGGAATTCGGCAGAAAAAGGACAACAAAAACAAATAAATAAATCCTGAGGTTCCTCCAGAATTTGCCTTTGGCTTGGAAGAGTTTTTCGAGGCCTGCAGGAATTCCCTGCCGAATTCTCCGCCTGCCTGTAAGATGAACTTCAGCAGCTTTGCAAGGAGCAACACGCCACGCAGAACGTCTTTCCCGGAAGATCCCACTCCTGCCACCAAACCGGTGGGGGTGGAGGGGGAGCGGAGAAAGGGCGTGAATCCATGTTACCGTTGAGGCCTATCAAAAAGGAATTGGAGAGCGCTCCCTCTTCCGCGGCTGTTCACTGGCAAAACGGCGCGAGAAAGCTAAGCGACGTCTTGACCCGGGATCGTAAGAGAGTCTCTTCGTCCTGTTCAACCGGTGTTTTTGGCTACGGCAGGAGAGCCGGACCCGCCATCAAATGGGCTGCCAAGTTTTGTCTATGGTCTGGATGTGTTCCTTCGCTTTCATGCGTAGCGCGGCGATGCTGGAACTCCGCTGGTCAAGTTCCTCCAAGGGGTATTTGTCCACGAAGGTGGTGGCGCACTGGTAGGCCATGGGCTGCATGCTCTGTGGAAGGGCTGGGGGGTTGTTGAGGAAGGAGTGGGCCGGGTAGGTGGGCTGGAGGGCCTGGCTGGGCCCCATCAATCCCGAGAGGCTGTGCACCGTGGTGGCGCCGGAGATGGGAGAGGCCAGCCAGGGGTCTAAGGGGAGAGAGTTGCCGATGGGGCCGAGGTTGGCTGCCATGGGGGGCCGGCTGAAGGACAGCACGGGGGTGTCGTGAAGCTTCATGGCGGTGGCCTCCATCTTCTCCTGGCGGCGCCATTTGGCACGCCGGTTCTGGAACCAAACCTGAAAAAAAGAGGGGAGGAGAGGAATGAGAAACCGTGTGTGTGTTTGTGTGTGTCTCTGTGTGTGTGTGTGTGTGTGTGGCGCGATCCCCTTTTGCGACCTTCTGACATGCAAAGTCAGTGGGGAAGCCAGATTCGCTTAGCAACTAGATCGCAAACTGAACAACGGCAGTCATTTGCTTAACGACGGTGGCGAGAAAAAGGGGCCAAAATGGGGCAAAACTCACTTAACGACTGACTCGCTTAGTGATGGGAAATTTGGGGCTCAATTATACTGGCAGTGACAGGGTCTAGTTCACCAACTTTTTATTATAAACCCCATTATTCTTTTAGAGCCGCAGCTCCCTTAGGTTTAGTAATTGATTATATTTTAATTAATTGGTATCCCTTTATTTCTCTTCTTAGTTCAGTGTTTAGCAACATTTCTTTAAACAATTTATACAACCCTCCGTCTCAAAGCTACGACCTCCAGTAAGAACAGAAGAAGACAACAGAATCGGGAGGGACCCTGTAGGTCATCTAGTCCAACCCCGCTCCCCCCCGCCCAAGCAGGAGACCCTACACCATTTAACAGATTAACAGAGTTGGAAGGGATCCTGGAGGTCATCTAGTCCAACCCCCCTGACCAATTCATCGATCGGCTGAACCCAGGGCACTACAACCATTGAAAAAATATATACACCTGCTGCCAAGCACCCAAATTTTGATCAAGTGACTGCGGGGAATGTAGCAGTGGTCGTACGTATGAGGACTGGCCGTAAGTCGCTTTTCTCAGTGCCGTTGTGCCTTCGAACAGTCGCAAAGCGGATTGTTTCAAGTTACATTTACACCGGTTCATTGAATGACCGTTCAATGTTACGACAGCACTGAAAAATGCGACTTACGACTGCCTTTCACACTTCCGACCTCTGCAGCATCCTCATAACTGTATGATCCAAATTCAGACGCTGGGCAGCACGACTCACACTTATGACCGTTGCCGTGTCCCAAAATGTCACCCGATCCTTTTTTTCCAGCCTTCGGATTGTGTGGGAAGCTGGATTCGCTGAATGACCGGGTTACTTACTTAACGATGGCAGCGGTTCACTTAACAACGATGGCAAGGAGGTCGTAAAACCGAACTCCCTTGGCCAATGTTTCACTTTACGGCCGCCGAAGCCAACGGGATGCTCCTTACCTGGACTCGAACCTCCGGCAGGTTGACCTTCATGGCCAGCTCCTCCCGGCTGTAGACGTCCGGATAGTGGGTCTTCTCAAAGGCCCTCTCCAGCTCGTGGAGCTGGTAGGTGGTGAACGTGGTTCGGTTACGCCGGTGCTTCTTCTTGGCCAGCTGGTCCTCGTCCAGCTGCTCCGGGGTGCCGCCGGCGTCCTCCACGCTCCTCCGCAGCTCGGTCAGCTCCGCCTCCGGTTTCCCGAGGAACATTCTGGAGCCTGAAAGGAAGACAGAGACGGTGGTCAGGGAGGAGGAATCAGAATTGAGCTGGAAGGGAGACCTTGGAGGTCTTCTAGTCCAGCCTCTTTCTTGAAAAATGCTCCAGAGATGGATCAGTCACAACCTCTGGTGTCAAGTTGTTCTGCTGGTTAATTGGAGTCCACAGGGTTAGAAAATGTCTCGTTGCTTCTCTCCTTGATTAGCTTCCACCCATTGCTTCTTGTTCTGCCCTCAGGTGCCTTGGAGAATAGCTTGACTCCCTCTTCTTTGGGGCAACCCCTGAGATATTGGAAGACTGCTATCATGTCTCCCCTGGTCCTTCTTTTCATTGAACAAAATCTGTTGTGGCCCAC